CTCCTAAAGTCTAGATTAGGATATTAATACTAGCTAGAAGTTATTAATAACTTCTTAAGGAAGAAATAGGGATACCTACTTATTAGTAGAGAGGATACCCTAGCTACTCTAAAAATCTAGAAGCTAAAAGCTAAAAGAAAAATATCTTTAAAATTAAAGATAATAAGATTAGATAATGCACCTAAACTTACTAGTCTACTAAAATAGTAGGAGAAGGATTTAGGAATCTACTTTAATATAATAGATATATATAATTCTATTTAGAATAGAGTTATAAAAAGATCTATCTAAATATTAGAAGATGTAGTAAGGGCAATAATTAAAGAATTAGAAATACTAATTAAGTTTTAGCCTAAAGCCCTAGTAGCCTAGTTTAAAATAAGGAATAGGCTGCTAAATAGTCCTAAAGTTAAAGGCTTTAAGCTATTACCTAAAGAAGCATTTATAAGAATTAAGCTAACTATATATTATCTAAGAGTTTAGGGGTACTAAGCTATTATATATATAGACCTAAAATCCTAACCTAGATAGGTAAGAAGTAACAAACTTATAAATAGAGGAAAGGATATAGTATTTATAGGATATATTAAAGAAATATTAAAATCCTAGCTTTTCTAGGATCTAGATATAAGAGCTATAAAATAGCACTTAAATATAGTATTCTTTAAGGAAAAGAGGGGGGGTAATTTAGATTTAAAGTTTTAATCTAAGTATCTTTCCTTAAATATACTATAGAGAAAACTACTTAGAAGGCTAGCTAATATACTAAGACCTAAACCTATTCTAATCTAGGAACCTATAACTAAAAAGTTAGCCCCTATAGCATTTATTTAGATTCCTCCTACCCTAGTAAATATAGGGGAATTCTAGAAAATTAAGGACTAAGTTAATTCTCTACCTTAAGTAGAGTAAAGAAAGAGAAAAGCTATAAGTAATATAGAAGGATTTAAAGCTAAATCTAAAGGACTAAGAGTCCTTTAGGAGATAAGCTAAGAAAGGCTAAAGAATTAGAATCCTAATAGAGAAGTAATAGAGATTATATAGGCCCTATTAGCTATAATCTCTAAACTAGGCTAGGACCTAGAAATATAAGATATCTTTTATAAACTTGCTTTCTCTATAATAGCTACTTAGACTATATACTAGTAGAATATCCTAGTTCTAGCTACCTATAAGGAAGTAGTAGGAGATAAAGAATAGGGAGTAATATAAATAGAAGTAATCTAGAAGGAACTAGATTTACTTATAAACAACTAGACCTAGGAACTAACTATTACTCTAAAAGGATTAAACCTTATAACCTTAAAATAGGTCTTTACTATAAAAAGATTAGTAAGTAGTACCCTTAATAAGTTAAAAGTAAGACTTATAGTAAGGGGTTTTTTATAGAAATATAGGATTAACTTTAAGRAGACTTTTATACTAACTATTAGATATAAAACCTTAAGAACATTTATAGCTATAGTCTATAAGGAAGACTAGGAACTCTATCTTATAGATGTTAATAGTGCTTTTATAAATAGTTACCTTTAAGAAGACATTTTTATAGCCCTACCTAAAGGAGTAAATCTTCCCCCTAGCTAAGTCCTAAAAATCCTAAGAAGCCTATATAGATTAAAGCAAGCTACTAGAAACTAGAATTAGCTTTATATTTTAAAGCTT